ATATATATATATATATATAATTAAACCAAAAGAGCCAGATAAACTTACCAAGGTTTAACCTACGTGGATCGTCAGTGAATACTTTAGGTTTAATTAGGTTTGCTCTACTTAGCATATTGAGGACTTTACTTAGTTATTTTACTTACTTGTATCGGGGTTTTTTTCTTTGGACTCTGAACTTGGATGCTAGGCAGTTGTCTTTGGCTGATGTACATGTTCTCTGTTCTTTCTTTTTTTGTACCTTTTTTTTTCCCTTGGGTATTGATTTGTTTATTTACATATCAAAGTTCCTAAGGTTTTCCAGATGAGTATAATTTCTTATATTTATAAGATTATTACTATTATATATATATATATCTATATTTGTGTGTGCATGCATGCATGTGTGCATATATGTATGTATATGCACACTCAAAATACTTAAATGTACATATGTCTATTTTCTGGAGTGCAATGATTATCAGATGTGTTTTAGAAGTCAGTGTCTTATGTCCAAACTAGGTGTCCCATTGTTTTGGTCCCGTGCTTTGGTTCATAAATATATACACATACATGAAATTATTAACTATTCACCTATCTCAAAATCCACTGTTTTTAAGCAGACACATTATATATTCTCATACAGAAGTTACATAAATAATTGTTAGGTATCCAGCATATCTGATAAAATGTTCATTTTTGGCAGCATCTGACAAACTTCTTTGACCTAAACAGCAAATGTGGGAGTGATTGAATGCTAGCTAACAAGGACATTCCAAGACATCTCAGGCACGTTCTTGGAGACCACAAATGCCATTCCATTCTCTTCCGTAAAGCCACCTTCCCTCACCAGACACTTTTAAGTCTTCGATCTTCATTCTTGAGAAACACAAAGCAACAGTAATCTCTGTATTTTGGTTTTTGTCTCAGCTCAAAGCAGGACACCGGTCAGTCATTGGGGGATTAAATACAATTAGCTTTTGCCAAACACAAGCCACTTGGGGATTTCTTTCCATCTTATTTCTGCCTTGAGTTTCTTGATTCATAGTTTCATCAACCAATGGTGTGTCCAATGTTGAGGTAAAAACAAATAGCATAAGTTCAAGTTAAGCATGATATCACCCCACCACCAAAGTGTGATAACTTCAAATTACTTAGAATGGTCACCACAGTGGACAGACAATGAGTGCCTTGAAATATGAAACCATTTATGAGAAATTAGCAGTAAGTTCATTATGTCGTGCTAAACAATATTTCTTGACAGAATCTATCTTACCCATTTTTAAATCTACCATTCGTCTGTGCATTGAATATCACTACCGCATCTGATCTGGTGCTTCTAGACAATTTCTTCATAGATGAAGAAGAAATTTGAAGCAACAGAAATGTTGTTCTACAGAAGGATGCTGAGAATTCCATGGACCAAACAAGTGGGCAATGATAAAGTTTTAGAGAAAACAAAATGGATACTTATAATTAAAATCAGGAAGAGAGAGTTGAAATTTCTAAGTCACATAATAAGGAAAGAGGGCTTGGAAAATTTGATACTCACAAAATAGATTGAAGGCAAGAGGGATAGAATAAAACAATGCATAATCTACTTAATGAGCTTGAGTAAATGGATGGCAGGACAGGGTTATGGATAATGAAAAGCCAAAATTTATTAAGATTTACAAAGTACAGAAAATTGTGGAGAGCCATGATTGCTCATCTCCTGAAATGACATTGCACAAGAAGAAGAATTTTTCATTTATTGAACTGGAAGAGTAGGAAATAAGATGATATTTGTTTGCTAAGGAAAATGGTTAGTCAGTCAGTCAGTTAGTCAAAAATGGATGCTTGAGCAATGATCATGAATAACCCAAGCCATATTTAGATTGGTAGATTTTGATTGGTTGGTTGAATTGCATCCTGGGAATTTTTTTTTTTTTTTTTAAATCTTTTTATTTTATTTTCTTCCTTTTTAATACCTAATACTCTTGTTGCTAAGGCTTGACACAGGACACTTTATTTGTTTGATGTTTTATCAAACACCAGTGTCCTTTACATAAACCTGAAGCACACACAGAACATACAACATACAGTGCATGTTGACAGACAGGACAAATATTTCAACATTTGTCATGATAGTGTTTGACTCTTCCTCCACCCACCTATCTTTATGGGGAAGACTTTAGGAAAGGAGCCGGAAAAGAGATCAGATCATTCGTAGTATGGGTGATATTAAATGGGGTGGTTGGTGGTTAGACAAAGAAGGTGTGGGTAGAAGTGTTGCTTGGAACTGCTGTTCAAATAGCCTACAGGTATTAACAGACTTGGCCATATTAACAGAAAAACATTTCGACCAGCATGCTTAGAAATAGGGATGGTATTTTTCTTGAGTTTTTTTTTTTTTTTTTTTTTTCATTAATGGCCTTTTTCTTTGTTTTACCTTTTTCTTTGAAACTTTTTACTTTAATCACTTTTGCTTGTCATTTTTCGTTTTCCATCACTCACTGATTTTTCTTGGCTTTTTTATTTCTTCTCCACTTCTCCATCATTTTTTTTTTTTTACTTTCTTCATATATTTTATCACTATTTTTTTCTTTTTTCCTCCCTTATATTTCAATGACTTTTCTTCTCTTATAAATATCTTTTCTATCTTCCCTAATTTTTTGCTGCTATTTTTTCTGTCATATATTTTGCAGCTTTTCAATCGTCCCTTATATTTGGCAACTTTGTTCTCTCATTTTTATTGCTTGCTTTTCTATCTTCCCTAATAAAGAGTGTTCCAATAACTTGGTCTGATTTTAAATGTGAATTAATTTTAAGTGTCTAATGATTTTTTTCTTTTTCTTTCATATTTAACAACGTAAATCTTTGGCAATTTCAACCATGGAAAGATTAATAATCAAATGTGTTAAAGTTTCAAGAGTGCAATTGGAAAAATTGTTTATAAATTCAAAGAGACTATGTTGGTGGCAGATGTGAAAACACCACTGCATACTTGTTTACGTCGTTCAGCTGAAAACATTGCTGCAGTGCATGAGTATATGGCCAAAAATCCAGACACCTCTATTTGTCATCACACACAGGAATTGAACCTATCCACAACAACATTACATTGTTTCCAACTGCATTCTTGGTTGGTCGATTATATTGACCAAAAAATCACAAAGTGCATTTCTGTTTGAACGTCCATTTTCATAATAGGCTTCGATAACTTTAACACGTTTGATTGTTAATCTTTCCATGGTTGAAATTGCCAAAGTCTTAAGCTGTTAAATCTGAAAGAAAAAAAATAATTAGATACTTAAAATTAATTCACATTTAAAATCAGTCGAAGTTATTAGAACACCCTTTATTTTGCTGATATTTCTTTTCTCATATATTTTATCTAATTTTTCAACATAATTTGCTTAATTCCTGCTATTATTTTGCTGATATTTCTTCTCTTTCTTCTTTGATAAAGAGGAATACAAGGAAATCTCAGTCGAATTGTGTTGTGATGATCTTTCAAGGAAAGAGGAAGTTTCGGTTTTTGGTTTTAAGCATCTCCATTTAGAATTATTTCTCTTCACTTGAGCTTAAAGACCCTACACGGGAACTTGCAGCAAATACAAAATCGACTTGTCCAAATCTTACTCTGTTACCAAGTCCCTAACAGAAGGCCACCCGACAAGCATCACACATTAAATAAATATTGTTCTAATAAAAAAAAAATTAATGTTAGATATTTTTTTAATTCTTCATCTATCATTTTTTTTCTTCCATTTCTTTTTCATATATTTTTCTTCTTCCTCTTCATGCTCTTTTATTTCTCATTCATTTCCCTGTTTCTAATTTTTTTTTTTTTTTATAATAGGATATTCAGAAAGTAAGGTCATATATTAAAAAATTCTTCAAATAAAGAAAAATTATTTTTTCAAGAACATAATCTTCATTCTTAACAAAATCCCACAGTTAATTTTATTCCTTGATTTTCTGGATATCAATTTTTTTTATTTTACTTGACCTCATTTTATATATTTCTTATATATATATATATATTATGAAGAAAAATATATACGGAAAAAACAAACAAAAATCCTTATATACAATTATGCTGTTTTAATGTTAATATGTCAATGTCGGACGTTTCGGTCTAATAAACCATCTTCAGGACATATTCATAAATTATAACATTATCAATACAATATGACAAAGACGATGTACATAAGAACAAGACTTATCGAAACAAATAACTGAAAGTTTTATAAGATCAGCGCTCCGTTTAAAACATGGTCAAGGATTTTTGTTTGTTTTTTCCGTATATATTTTTCTTCATACTGTCGGATCTATATCCATATATTTGCTTACATATATATATTATGTATAAAAAAAAAGTTTTCAGTGAAAACTGGTTAGCTTTATTTTTATCTCCTACTTAAAAAAAAAAAAACTGCAAACTTTTGTATACACTTTTTATATAAGTAATTTCTAAGAAAGTAATGGATTTTTTATTTATTAATCCTACAGATTGATTGTTACATTCATTTTCTATGGTGTATAAACCCTTTGCAGGTTATTTAAAGCCGGAAAAAGAAGCTGCTTGCATAAATGGTTGGCAGGACAGGGATTAGGAATGATATCAAAAAGATAAACACTGATAAGAGCTACAAGGGACAGGAAGTTGTGGAGAACCATGATCACCCATATCCTGAAGGAACATGGCACATCGAAGAACAAGTTTACTTAAATGTTTGACAGAACAAGAATTAAGAGAGATAGCAAAAAGATAAATGTTGATAAGAGCTCCAAGAGACAGGAAGTTGTGGAGAACCATGATCCCCCATAACCTGAATGAACATGCACATTGAAGAAGACTGATTTGTTTCTATGGCTTATCAACCCTTTGCAGGTTATTTAAAGCCAGAAAATATTTTTACATTTTAAGAATTTTTAATTGTTTGAGATAATAGTGATTTAGAAATTTTTTATTTAGAACATAATAATGATTAGTCTTACTAATTAACACAAATTATACCACTAGCACATCCAAGCTTACAGCAGTTGGTATTCCCAAGTAGCCACTTATCTAGATACTGACCAGGCTCAATGTTGCTTAACTTCGGTGATTGTATGGGAATCAGTGTTTCATCATGATATGGCTGTAAGCCCTCATCCGACAGACTTTTATCACTTTAAACATTATTTTTAGTGGATACCCATATTTGAATAGATGTTCTGTTTAAACAGTATCTATTTTTGTCTAGTAGCCTGAATATTTGACCCATAGATACCCATATTTGAGTAGACACTTCATTTATTTTAAACAGTATATTTTTGTCTTACAGACTCTTGTAACCAAAAACAATTTTATTTCCTTATTTTGAAAATATAGAAGGAAGCACTAACATGCATGACATGCCAGGAAAAGTACACAGTAAGCTATATACTGACAACATGTAAGATCCTGAATCTAGCTTGAATCAAATATTAAGAAACAAATAACCTGAAAGAACTCTTTACGAAATTCAATCTGGATTACCCTTTTTTAAATTCTTAAAAGGAACTCATCTATTTACCAAAACCTGGAAAAAAAAAAATTCAACATAAGTACAGTTTATAAATACACAATCTAACTACAACTTTTGACATGACAATAATGTTTAAAAAAAATAACAATACACAAATATAAAATCCCAATCCTAATTGCTTTGGCATTAGATGACCCACTAGGAATTGATATGTCATTAAACAAAACAAACAAACAATTGAAAATCTAAAGTTTAATAGAATTTTTTGTTTTGTGTTTTAAAAGTAAATAATAAAAAAATCTCTGAGGATTGGATCAAAAATGTTATTCTTGTTACTGTAGAAATATATTTAGATATCAGCATTAAATAACCATTGGAGGTTGATAAACAAAATCAATCAACCAATTTTAAAATGAGTGCTTAATAAATCCCTGATAGCTACAAACTTCAAAAATTTAAATGCAACATCAATCACCATTTTTTGTCTTCTTGAAGTTTGTTCCTTAATTGTCTTTCTTCAATCCCCGCCACTAAAGTCTTTTTTTTATCAGTCAAAATCTTTTAACATAAGTACAGTTTATAAATACAAAAACTAAATACAACTTTTGATACAGCTATAATATTAAAAAAAAAGAAAAATCACTTAATTACACTACAAAATAATAATACACAAATATAAAATCCCAAAAGTACTTGCTTTGGTATTAGATGCATCAATAGAAGTTGATATGACATTAAACAAAACAGTCATTATATTTCACCCTGTGTTCTAGTGACATTATTGTCTTGCCTTGGGTGAAACTGTTTTTTTAAAAAAAGGAAATGAATCTATTTGTTTTGAGACTATAATGGCTATGACAATGAACTACATCTGGCAGCAAGGACTCTGATTGAGAGATTTGAGATTTTGAGGAACATGGAACCACCTCTTAATTGCCATCGTTCCCAGGTCCATGCTGATCTGAGGTGGCAGCACTTGTTAGGGTCCCAGCTATAGAAAAATAGTGCTTTGATTTTTGTTTGGTCTATAAAGTACAAAAATGGATTATGGTAAAAATACCAGCAATATATTTATTAAAGACAATGATTAGCAGTAATACATTTTATAGCAAAATGACAATACATCACTAAAATATAAAAATACATTTTTTATAGTAAAATTACCAGCAATACATTTATCTCCAAACTATATATCTAAACATACATTTGCTCTGAAAGTATAAAATTGTGTACAAAATATCTAGATGAAGTCATAAAATTGCATACAAAATATTTTGATTTCAGCATTAAATAACCCATAGAGGTGTTGATATGCCACTAAACAAAATCAACCATCCAATCAACCAATTTTTAAGATGAGTGCTTAATAATCCCTGATAACTACAAACTTCAAAAATTTAAATGCAACATCAATCATCATCTTTTGTCTTCTTGAAGCTTGTTCCTTAATTGTCCTTTCTTCAATTGCCACCACTAGAGTCTTCTCTTTATCATTCAAAACCTTTTAACTTTTAATATAAGTACAGTTTATAAATACAAAAACTAAATATGACTTCTGACACAACTATGATGGTAAAAAAAAAAAAGAAAATCACTTAATTTCACTATGAAATAATACACAGATATAAAATCCCAACCATACTTTCTTTGGCATTAGAGGACCCACTTGTAGTTGATATGCCATTAAACAAAACAAACAAATAAACAATTGGAAATCTAGAGTTTAACAGAATTTTTTGTTCAGGGTTTTAGAAGTAAATAACAAAAAATCTCTGAGGATTGGATCAAAAATGTTCTTCTCATGACTGTAGAAAAAAAAAAAAACTCTTTGAAGACATCATAAATATTTTTTCACTTTTCTTTTTTAAACTTTGAAAAAGACAAGATTTGCAGGCTTTATATTAATATTAAAAGATTTTAACATTTCATTATCTGTCAGGTATAATGATAAACTACTAGGCCTCTGATCAGAAGATTAAAACTTTTGAGGAGTATAGAAAAGCCTCTTAACTGATGTTGTACCTGGGGTGGTAGCACCTGTTAGGATCCTAGCTATGAGCAAGTACTAAAGTCCCAATCAAAAATCAACAGTACATTTTTATAGTACAATGACAATATGACACATAAAAATGTATTTTTATACTATTTTTAAATAAAATTACCAGCAATACATTAAAAAAATTTATCACCAATACATTTTATGATCTGCAAACAATATATCTAAAAATAGATACCTTTACCATGAAAGTATAAAATTATGTACAGAATATCGGTAGTATAAAGCATAAAATTACTAATGAAATATTTATATTTTGTTATTAAATGACCCATAGAGGTGTTGATATGCCACTAAATGCAGAGAAGTAGCTTCTGTGTCACTATCTCAGTGGCTCAATGGGTCCATAACCTGGCACAATTGTAAGCTGAATTTTGATGTGAAATTTTCACTGTATAATATTATATATATATATATATATATATATATATATATATATATATATAAATATAAATATATATAACCTAAACTAGACACAAAATAATACCGAAAAAAATAGAACATGTAAAATAATACTAAGGAAGAAATAGAACATGGCAAAATAATAATACCGAGGAAGAAATAGAACAGGGCAAAATAATACCGATAAGAAATAGAACATAGTAAAATAATACCGAGGAAGAAATAGAACAGGGTAAAATAAAAAATAATACCGAGGAAGAAATAGAACAGGGCAAAATAATACCGAGGAAGAAATAGAACATAGTAAAATAATACCGAGGAAGAAATAGAACAGGGCAAAATAATACCGAGGAAGAAATAGAACAGGGCAAAATAATACCGAGGAAGAAATAGAACATAGTAAAATAATACCGAGGAAGAAATAGAACAGGGTAAAATAATACCGAGGAAGAAATAGAACAGGGCAAAATAATACCGAGGAAGAAATAGAACATAGTAAAATAATACCGAGGAAGAAATAGAACAGGGCAAAATAATACCGAGGAAGAAATAGAACAAGGAAAAATAATACCGAGGAAGAAATAGAACATAGTAAAATAATACCGAGGAAGAAATAGAACAGGGTAAAATAATACCGAGGGAGAAATAGAACAGGGTAAAATAATACTAAGCAAACACTAGTCAAAACTAAATTTAAAGTAAATCAATAGTAATAAGGCAAAAAGTTCACAAAGAATTATGTTCGCATGCAAAAGGGACACAGTCAAATGGTTATAGTGTTCCGACCTCAAGACAGGAAAGAACAAAAAAAATGCGGCAGATAAAACTGAGAATTGGTTCATTTTTATTATTTGTTAGGAATTAGAAATCCCAGCATGCATCTCTTGGGTTTATCTATAAAATTTTGAGGAGGGGATGTTTTTTGCGATCATTCCATATGGAATGGAACTAACACCAGACACAAAGAAAAATATACATATAATAATAGCTAGCAGCTCATTTCTATATATACGCTTCTTTTAAGGTAGCTCACTAATCCCTATTGCAGATGCCCACCCAGGCACATTTTTGCTTTTTCAATACAACCTGTTGCTTCTATTGTAATTGTGCTGAACGAACATTAGTTACAGTTTCTGGGAGAGAGAGCACATAATTTGGCATGATCAATTTCATGAACAAAGCAAACATTAATGGCTTCCAAATAATTTCATCTAGCCAGTTTCATACACGAGACTTGGATCAACTTATTTTCAGGCACTTCTCAATGATGCCACATGCTGGTATCATCTCCCCAGGAAGATGATACGAAAAAGTCATTTTCTTGACAAATTGACAATAGTGAAATTTGAACCTGGGTCTCATGGTTGAAATGCTAACAGCTCAGCCATGTGCCTGTACACACAAGTTAACTCTGATTGTTTTTTTTCCTCAGAGATGCTTTCCCTATACGCACTCAATCAATTGTATGTAAAAAGAGGGATGAAAAATTAATGACCGCTTCCTCATGGAAAATAATTTGTGAGTCTGTGTTGATAGTTATTGGGTGGTATATATGCTTTGAACTTAAGCGCATCTATATTCATATATTGTTTGTATTGATTTGTTTATAAATGTTGTTAGTTCAAAAGGAAGGTCTGTAATTTTTGAGGAATGTAGTACAGTTTGTGTTGTATCAAGTTTATAAATCTAACTGTTAAACCTATATCCTGAAAGGACATTGTACATCAGGAGGCTTAAACTGACACCTTTTTGCTTAAAGTGTGTATTTTCTTGATTTCAGTTGAAAATTTTCAATTTTTTTTTTTCACTATATGAGGCTCAAAAGTTAGAGGGTTACTGTGTGGTGCTGTATTTGTGTAAGAAAGGGCAAGAAGTGAATTTCTTGGAGCTATGCAAGAAAGATAATGGCAAACTCTAGACTTGAAGAGGTTAAGATTTAATTAGTGAATGACATTTCAGAGTTCAGTCAAAGTGTGGAAACAGACTCTGGATGGAACTGGAAACCCAATCCTAAACAAGAAAACAAGGGATAAACCTTTACTCCTGTTCAAAAAATAGGGGATGGAGTGCAAACCAGGTTAACCTATCTACTCCTATTGGGTGAGGAGAAAAAATAATTAGCAAATAAAATTTCAGAGTTCAGGCAGAGACATTCCTAATTTATTGTTTATAAGTATAGTGCAGATAAATATATAAAAACAAGCAGGTGTTTTTTAGCTCAATGGTTAAAATAGGCTTTCAGTGAGTATAGCCTGTGGGTTCTGGCAAAGACCATCTTTATTTGAACATTGTAACCAGCACTATAGAATCACTAACAAAGAACTGTACCAAATAACAGAAACCATATCACTTGGGAATATTCAATAATGTCAAGAACTAAAAGGGATATCACATGTCATTTAAAGATAAAAGTATGATCTAATAAAGATGTTGACATTCCACACTATTTAAATAAAAGATTAGGAAGGAAACTCCCATCAGTACTGCGTTGCATTCTGCGTCATCTCTGGATTCCCATGCTACTACATAAAATGGTATCAATGTTGGATCAGCGTCCCTCTGCGGGTGGTATTAGTTGATTGCAAACCTAGGTGTGGGAGGCATATCGATGCTTCCAAATTCTTGGAATCCTCTGTTGAATTTATGCCATTTTGAACTTATATTCAAAACTTATACAAAATTACTAAATGTAGATCATCAGACAGGGTTCGTTAGGATAAAGAGGTGAAAATCTGAGCTTTGGTGTTAAAATACACAAGGTAGGCAAGTGTAACCTGAACTGAGAATTCAAATCTGTTTTATGGTTCCATTTGGTTCACATGTAAGGATTGAGCTATAGAATTACTAATGGTAATTGTAATATTAGACCTTTTCTTATACTAGATTTGAGAAATCTACTTTATTGAAAAATTCTTTTGAAAAGAAAGATTTTATAAATTTCGACCAACTCTGACTTTTCAGTTAGAGAATGCCAAATGTTTAGATGGAAACAGCTAATATCACCATTACCATGATCTATTCAACAGCTTATAAAGAATGTTTTTTTAATATATGAAACAAGCTAAATACTCATCTATATAAAATCACATTGCTCTTATCAGTCCATTGGTTAATCATTGAGTGTATTTGAAACGAACCCACAATGCACCCCTACCTCCGACCCACCTGCAACCGGTGGTACTTTGATGGGTTTCCATATCCTGATGACTCATCTCTGATTACTGTACTATCTTGAAATCAACATTTCCTCTCTGTTCATTTTCATTGGTTTATTTAATTCTTTCTCATATCCTCTACTTTCACTTTCATTTTGCTTGCTCTACCTTCTTTTTTTTTCTATTTTCTTTCTTTTTTTTATCTTTCCAACTATATTCTCTTTATTCCACTTTTAAAACCATTTACTTGTATTTTTTAGCATCTCATTCATTCCTTTCACCTTTATTTTCATTCTTTATTTTTTTGGCAATTTTTATATTTCCTTCCTCACCACATTTCATCTCTCTTTTTTTTTTGCTTCATGTTATTTATTCATTCATTCTCTTTATTTCTTACTTTCTTATTATTTTTATTCTCTCCTCCTTATTTACATTTATTTTTTTTGTTTTCTTCATTCTTTCACTCACTTCCTTCTTCTCTTTTATAACCTCTTCATTCCTCTTTTAAATCAGTTTTTTATTCCTTTCTCTCCATTTTGCTGCTTTTTTTCAAATTTCATATTTCTTTCATTTTTTTCTTTCTTCACTACATATTTTTCTTTATGCATTTTTCATTCTCTTATTTCATGTTATTTATTCCTACCTTTTTTGCTTATGTTCATTCATTTCACTTATTTTTGTGTTTTTTCCATTTTTCTTTATTCATTCATTGAGCTCCTAATTTTTTTCTTTTTCATCTTCATTCCTCACTCTTCACCTAATTCATTTCTGCTACCTCATTCTAACCTTTTATGTATTTTTCCATTCTTTTTATTCACTCATTCATTCATTCCCTTTTTCTTTCTTTCTTCACAATTCATTCCTTTCTCTTCACCTAATTAATTTCTGCCACCTTTTTTCTCTTTCATCCTTTTTCTTGCTCACCTTATATATATATATATATATATATATATATATTTCACTCATTCATTCATCTCCTTTTTTTTTTCTCATTTTCATTCTTCCCTCTCTACCTAATTAATTTCTGCAAACTTCTTTCACTTTATAGAATTCCATTCATTTCACTTAAATTATTTTTGTCTTTTTTTCGATTTCCTTTATTTATTCATTCACTTATTATTTCTTTGCTCCTCCAACTTTACCTAATTAATTTCTTCAACCTTCTTTCTTTTTCCTCCTTTCTCTTTCTAATCTTTTTATGTATTTTTCATTCTCCTTATCCAATTATTTATTCATTCACCCCCTTTCTTTTCTTTTTCACCTTCATTCCACCCTCTCCACTTAATCAATATCTGCTACTTTCTTTTTCTTTCCTATTCTTTCTTAATCATTTTTTATGACCTTTTGGTATTTTTTCATTCTCTTTGATTCATTCACTCACCCACTTTTTTTTCTTTTCTTTTTCACCTTCATTCCTCCCTCTCTGCCTAATTAATTTCTGTCCATTTCCTTCTCTTTCCTGCTTTTTCTTTCTAACCTTTTATGCATTCAGATACATTAATGCCAGGTGTTTCTTTCCATAAAGGGCCTTTTTAGTCCTGACCCCTCAGCCTGATTTGATGGTCAAGGGATGGAGTTGGTCTACAGGATCTTCCTGCCACACCCTCTTTCCAAGCAGCAATATATATTTTTCGATGAGCCAATCAATTTAGCTGTCAGTTAGTGGATCTTGGCAGTTGACACTAGAAAGGACCATTAGTGGACTTGTTTATTCTGCAAGACAAATCAATTCTGATAGCTCACAGGGTAGCCATGTCGTTTTTATGTTCTTTCCAACCTTTTTCATTTCCATCTGGCTTGGACCAATTTGTATTTTCATTTTTCACTGCAGATCATTGAAGTTATTTCTTCTATCTCCAAGCACTTATATCGCTATAGCTTGATTATTAGGGTAAGAATGTAGACTTAAAAGGTTCCAAATTTTATATCTGGTTCAAATAGAAGGTGACAAACTAGATGTTTGGGTAGTGTATCCTCTTTTCTTTCTTCTTTTTTTGTTAATCCTTTCACCTCAAGCAAGGCAATAAAGCCACTAGGATGCAAGAGGTTACTGAAAGTGAATGATAGAGAGAGAGGACAGTACAAAAACAGATGATGATGATTGACATTGCATTTTTAGATAAATTCATCTATCATACAGTTCATACTCCTCGCTTGTCTTTTCAACAGGAGTAGAGGTTTATCCTTTATTTTGTGTTTAGGATTTGATTTCTGGCTCCGTTTAAAGTCTTTTTCATACTCTTCCCTTCTAGTAGCCCCCTGTATCTTAGTGACATTATCACCCTGTTTGAGTTGAATTTATTAAAATAAAAAAGAAGCTGGAAGAAAGTTCCACAAGTGAGAAGTGCAAAAGAAGAAATGGTTAATACAGAACTTATGCTTACACTTAGCAATTTCAACATTAAAACGATGAAACCTAACTGCCAATCTAGTACTGTGTGAAGTTGTTCTTCATCTGATTGAGTCGCTACACTACACCCATCCAGTGTTGCATAGAGAGCCTTGCCTGGGATGTTAAGGTTTCAAGGTCATTAAGTGTGTATGAATCTTTAAGATTGGGGAGAAAATAGAAGATGCTCAATAGTTTATAATTGCCTGCATTGGCAGTTGGGATCATCATCATTGGCATATCCCCATTTCTGAAGGTTGGCTTTTTAGGGACCAACAACTGTTTGGAGGTAATTCAGGCAGGACTGGAAGGGCCAGGCATCATTGGAGCCAGGTGGGGGGGATTTTGTAGGGCTGAGAGCAAGAGAGAGGGAGAGTGTCTGTGTTCCATGTTGTTAAGGTGGCTGCACCCCAGGGACAGATGTTAAAAAGGAGCTCTGTGTGAAGCTGAGGTACAAAACTCATCAAGACTGTGAAAGTATTTATAGAAAAGGCACGTGGAAACTACATTATAGCAGTGGATTATTTTAATTAGACATTATTTCTTAATGCTATAAATATTTTTAGTACACATGGTTCTGGGTAAGATGATAAACTACATCTGGCAGCAAGTCCTCTGATCAAGAGATTGAAAGTTTTGACAAGCATGGAACCACCTCTTAATTGGGGTTGTTTCCCAGGTCCATCCTGACCAGGGGTGGCAGCATCCGTTAGGATCAGTTGTAAAGTACCCTATAAAGTGGTGGATGATCTTTTCAATTATAGAGTACCCTATATAGTGCTGTATGATCTCTGCAATTATAGAGTACCCTATAAAGTGGTGGATGATCTTTTCAATTTTAGAGTACCCTATATAGTGCTGGATGAACTGTTTATCTCTATGTATTGGACATTTTTGATGATGTAATAAACACTGAATTTTTTTATTATTTTAATATTTTTTTAAAATAATTTCACCCCAAGCAAGGTAATAAAGCCACAAAGATGAAAGGGGTTACTGTGTGTTACAGATATTATGAGAAAAAAAAACACTATTTACATTATTCGGACTATTGTCCTCATCTTTGTCACCATATTTATTACAACGTTTCAGCCGTTGTATGCTCTGGCCTTCTTCAGGTGGTTGGAATGTTGAAGTTAACCCTTCATTTTGCTCACTGTGATAGACTGTTCTAGTTCCACGTGCCATGGCACAGTGGATAAAGGCGTTGGTTAGATCTAGTGACAGGACCCAAAGAGTGTGAGTTCAATACCTGGTTAAGGCAGAGGAGAACTTTCAGAGGGAAATTAAGAAGGGATAACTGATAACTAACATCCTTTAAGACATGGCACGTGGAACTAGAACAGTTTACCCTAGTGAGCGAAATAAAGGGTAAAGTTCTACATTCCAACCACCTGAAGAAGGCCAGAGTGTACAATGGCCAAAACATTGTAATAAATATGGCGACAAAGATGAGGACAATAGTCCAAATAATGTACATAATACCTTATCTCAGAAATATAGACAGATAAAAAAAAAACACTATCAAGGAGCCAAAACAATAAAAGAACCAGAAAAAAGAAGTTAATGATTCATATTGCATTTAAATTTATGAAGATCAAACTTGATTGGGAAGCTAGAAGAGAGTTTCACATGCAAGAATTGTTTGAGAATAAACTATCAAAATTAATGATTATATCTATCCATTTCAACTAACATGATGAGACCTTGTTGCCAATCTAGTACTGTGCTTAAATTCATAACATCTAGGTACCATAGAGGAAAGCTCATCAGAACAATTACCATGAAAGTATTTATAAAAAAGGCACAAGGAAGCTACATTATGGGGTGGGAAAATGACTGAGGCCAAGATGCCAGGTCAAGACAAATAACATTGCAGATTATTTTTATTATTTTGTATTTTAATTTATTATTTATCTGTTACATAATTTTCTATTATTTTAACCTTGATTAATAAGAGACCATAATTTATTTTTATCAGAAATTATTTTTCATACCGAGATAAATGGATATTAAGTTTGTAATATAAAATATCAAATATTGACACCATTTTTTGATTGTCCAAATAAACTATTAATATAGGTAATGGGATATTTATTATAAGTTGGTAATATTTTGCAGCTATAATAAATAGATATAAAATCATTAGTTTATTTATTGAATGATAAATTGTACTAAAAATGTACTGGTATTATCAATAGCAAGATATATCCTAGCTAAATGTACAGCTATTTTACAAGTACACAGATACACTGGGTTATGTTGATAGGAAAATGAGCAGCTCTCCCCCACTTGGAAGATTTGGTGTTTCACATTCTTCAGATTTTTGATTGACTGAGCCATTTTACTTAGTTTATCAACCCTTTGCAGGTTATTTAAAGCCAGAAAATATTCTTGGATTGTAAAATTTTTTTGAGATAATAATGGTTTAATAACAGATTGATTGAGAGAGAGAGAGAGAGAGTGTGTTTATAAGAGTGAGAGAAATTGAAAGACAGAGAGTCTGTGTTTATAAGTGAGAGACTGATTGAGAGAAATTGAGGTAGAGAGAGAGAGTCTGTATTTATAAGTGAGAGACTGATTGAGAGAAATTGAGGTAGAGAGAGAGAGAGTGAGTCTGTGTTTATAAGAGTGAGAGATTGAGATAAATTGAGAGAGAGAGTGTCTTTTTAAGAGTGAGAGATTGAGATAAATTGAGAGATAGAGAGTCTGTGTTTATAAGAGTGAGAGATTGAGTGAGAGAAATTGAGAGAGATAGAGATTCTGTGTTTATAAGAGTGAGAGAGAGAGTCTGTTTATAAGAGTGAGAGAAATTGAGAGAGAGAGAGAGAGTCTGTGTTTATAAGAGTGAGAAATTGAGTGAGAGAAATTGAGAGAGAGAGAGAGAGAGTGTCTGTGTTTATAAGAGTGAGAGATTGAGTGAGAGACTGTGTTTGTAAGACTGAGAGAAATTGAAAGAGAGTGTCTAGGAGAGAAAGAGTGTGCATGTCTGGGAGAGAGTGCATCAGAGTGTGATTGAGAGAGAGATTGTTCTCAGCTCTGACACTGTCAGAAAGACAGGTAAGTACTGAATGAATACTGCATACTTACGAAAGGCTTGAAAACTGTTAGAAATTGTCAGAAACCACACCTTGAATGACAATGCAGAACTTGCAGTTTTATAAAAGCACTGAATTGGTGATAGGAAGACTGTGATGCACCAATTTTCCACATTAGGCCTTGTGCCACACCAATCTACATATAGTAAATAGTACTTTAAATAGGTTTTAGTCATAGTATGATTTTGACCATTATGTTTTTTTTCTTTTAAATGTTTCTGACACTCTCTCTTTTTATCCAAACAGTAATTTGCAAGTTCTTTTTGATCTTTAATTGCATTAAGCGTTTAAATTTTTGTTCTCCAATTCAGCACCTAACCATCAACGTTTCTCTTACTGGGAATTCATCTGTAGAAAATCAGGTTTATGGAACACAGCACATTCAAAGAAAACTCTTTAGGAGCAGGATATTGCAGGTGTGGGGCAGGAGTTTGTTTTTCTTTTTAATGATAATATTAACCATAAAGAAACATTCAACATTCATTGACCGAGCAGCGAGTTCCACTGTCAGTTGAAATTTATAAAATTATTCGCTTAAAAGAAATTTTTTTCAGGTAAATAGGTTTTTCAAGTCCAGTTCTGCCCTGTCAGCTGGGGCTGTAGAATATACTGAATGCACCTCTGCAGAGGGGTAAGACGATAAACTACATCCATGTCCAGGGTAAGACAATAAACTATGTCCAACAGCAAGGCTTCTGATAAGGAGGTTTTGAGGAGTGTGGAACCACCTCTTAATTGCTGGTGTTCCCAGGTTCACTCTGACCTGGGGTGGTAGCACCTGTTAGGGTCCCAGATATGGGCAAATAGTTAACCCCGAAGCTGAGGTAAAAAGCATTATAAAAGTGTAAAAATAGGTTTTAATATCAGAAATACTTTGAAAAAATTATTAACAGAAATTAATTTAAAAAAATAAATAAACTATTACCAGCAATACGTTTTTGAAAAAAAAAAATATTACCAGCAATACATATGATTGTACTAAAAAATATAAGTAATTGAAAAATGGTTCAAATATATATATGTATACACACCTTTTTTACCAAACTATCGCTATGTATCTATTTAAAAAATTTCGATAGCATTAAATGACTCACTGAGGTTTTGATATGCCATAAAACAACCAAACAATCAAGTCCAGTAGCTGTTTCTAGTATTGATGGGGAGTTTCCTTCCTAACCTTGTATTTGAGGTAGTGTGAAATGTCAGCATATCGATTATGTTATTATTTTCTCTTCAAGTTACAAGTGCAATCCAATTTCATTGTTGCTGCTGTTGAAATTTCTCAAGTGATGTGGTTTCTATTATTTGATATGGTTCTTTGTGATTCTGTAGCACCAATCCAAAATGTTCAAAGAAGAATGATCTTTACCAAGACCCTCAGGTTTCACTCACTGAAAACCATTTTAAACCATTGTTCTTAGAAAATGGTTATATACAGCTGACAGTTTAGATGATTCTGAATTGGGCTGGCACTATGCATAACATCCTTATGAAAGGATGAGGCTATTTAATGATGAGGCTATTTAAGAAGATGACGACTCAAACTTTCAGGTTGATGTTTTGGTGTGATGCAAAAATGAATAATTTGCATATGGCAGGTAAAGGTGAATAAACAAAAAGAGAAGTGGTTTAAGATAACAATGAGTCTTCTCACTGGATTTATTTAACCGTTAAGGTGAGGCAAGTCCTAAGAGAAGTAGAAGCCCCGCTAGGATTTAGTACTGGTATCTAAAGAATGTTAAATTATTTGCATTGTATTTTTCTTATTGATGTTTTACAAGGTATTTGTTTGGTTTTTAAGTAACATTGTACACATTTGTTTAATGGTAATGTTAAGCGTTTCCTTATTAGGAAATGTTCGACATCCATTGACCAAGCTGTCAGAACTATTTTCAATTAAAATTTATAAAAAATATTTCTATTAAAACAAGAAAATAGGTTTCTCAAGTCCATTAGCTGTTATTGCTCTTCCTAGTGTTGGTAGGAGTTTCCTTCCTAACCTTTTCTTTGAAGTCGTATGGAATGTCAGTATCTTGATTATGTTATTATTTTCACTTTGAGTTACAAATGCTATCCATTTTAGTGGTTGTTATTGATGAAAGTCCTCAATGATGTCATTTCTGTTATTTGATACAGTTCTTTGTTTGCAATTCTGTTCAAAGAAAGATAGTTCTCACTGACAGCTACAAGTTTCATTCACTCAAAGACTATGGAGAAAGCAGTTGTATACAGCTATCTGTTTAGATATTTGATATATAAATATATATATTTAAATGAGTTTGGGGCCATGCATTCCATCCATATGAAGCTCTCGATCTGACAAAGCTATTTAAAAATATGACTTGAGATTTTAGGTTGATGTTTTAGTTTTGTAGCAATCTGTGGTGTTGTGTGAAACTACCCCTATTCTATTCTAGGTTCAATTTCCTTATTTTCTAAGCTAAATGCACATCTCTAAAAAGATTGGATGAAGTAGAATCACTCATATGAGAGCCTGAATAAAATAATTATATTTTGACAAGCAATTTTACATATGAAACTGTAAGTTCTATACTAAAGGTTTCTTCTTTCATGTTTGTTCTATCGCTTGTAGAGCTCTCTTTTGGCATCTTGCTTCCCAGTCAAATTTGTTCTTCAAAAATTGAAATGCAATGTCAAATGTTATTTACTGTCTTCTTAATTCTTGTTCTCTCTTCTTAATAGTAATTTTTTCATATTCTGTAACACTCAGTAACCCTTGTGTCTTAGTGGCTTTATTGCCCTGCTTAGGGTGAAATGATTAAATTTTTTTTTTTTTTTCATTTATTTAACCAAACTTCTTTACTTTTATTTTTTCTTTTGTTGGTTTTTAAAAGTTATTTATTTATAAAAAAAAAATCTTTTGCAGGTTGAGATTGAAAGTATAGCTGCCAAAGATGGACGTATCAGGCCAGGAGACCAGATTTTACAAGTAAGTGTTTTTTTTTCTCCATCCTCTTGTAAATTCATTTCGTATAATTGTTTATTACATTCTAACACAGTACAACTGAAAAACCACTGTCCTATTGATAAAAAGCAGATATTTATGAAGAAACAAATGTAGAATATATTTTTTTTGCAATGATGATCACTTTGTACAAGGTCCAAGAGTCACACAAGGTAGAGGAGTTATAGAATAAAAGGTACCACCCCAAGCAAGGTTATAATACAACCAAGACACAAGGGGCTACCAGAAGTGAAGGAGAAGGATAATACCTTAAAAGGAACTGGAAACCCTGTCCTAAACAGGAAACAAGGGATAAACCTCTACTCCTGTTCAAAAGACTGGGGGAAGAGCGTGAGTTGGATGATACATGGGCCTATCTACTCCTAGATAGATACATAGATAGTAAAGAAAATTTAAAATATCAGATGGAGACATTAGAAGTATAGAGTTGCAGTAGACTTCATAAGGAACTAGAAACACAAAGATAAACAGGAAACAAGGTAGACACTTCAACTTGTGTTTAAAAGACTAGGGTCGGTTGAGAACTGGACAATAGGCAAACCTATCTACTCCTAATTAATCAATAATTAGTCCAATAAATTTTCCAATTAATATATCACTATATACCGTAACATTATTTCATTTATTAAATAAAAATGAAATTTACTCCATTATTCAATGAGAGTTCGAATGTTGGGCTTGCCTATATATGAGAATGTGTGGTTAGTGCAATGGTTATTAGTACAGAAAATGGAATTGCCAGGCTGAGTTCAAGTTATGATCTAATCAACAGCATTCACTTTCACATAAATATTGTAAAGAAAGGCATGAATCCATTTCTTCTCCTCCCTAGATTTTGGTTAAGTAGCAGGGTAAACTGACATCTGTAGCCTTAAATGGCAACCAGTCCAGGAGAAGGTTAAATCTGCTATTCAAAAGTGTGGGAAAATGAAATGAAATAAAATAAAAGAATAAAATAAAACATTAAAAAATTAATCGCACTCTTACCACTTTCCAATGCATAGTGTTTGCACATGTTTTGTTGAAGCTCTACTAATGAATTGACATGAAAACACTCCAACAAGTGCTCAGGATCACCTCGTCAGTGGTGTTATGACTTGGGTTGATGACAAATTTTGGGTCTTGTAACATCATACTTGTTCACCCAAGAGACCCTACCGAAACAGTACTATCTGAAGCAAAAAAAAAAAATATGCCAAGCACGCACCAAATGGACTTGTTAAATAAATGCCACTGCTAACCAATTGTTAATGACTTGCGCCACTTCCTCCTCAGCCAAAGACAATACAAAAAAAGAAAAGACAGCATGCTTGTCTTTTCTTTTTACCATTGAATGAAACTTGTGATCTTTATTAGCTAAAGAAATCAGACCTGACTGAAATATATGAAGAACATAAACAAAAAAATTAATTTCTTTATTTATAAAATGTCAAGTTTTTTTTTCCCTTAACAGAAAGATTTACAGAAGCTATAATTTTGTCATTATATATATATATATATATATATATATATATATGCAATATTTAATGAATAAGTAAAAGCTGACTTAAGCTTGACCATTTTTAACTATTCTTATCTTTACTTAACCTTAACATACTACTGGACCAGAAAAATGTAACAGACATACCCAAGAGAGATTGAGAACTTTACTTCTCTAAAGTTTCCACTATAAAAAAAAGAATGAACAGTCTGTTATAGAAACACAAGTTTTGTTGTGTCTTTAATTGTTTATATGTTAACAGAAACAAGGAAGAACCTGTAGAGAGCCATGTCCTGAAATGACATGCTAGTAAAATAAATATATTGATATATATTGTAACAAAAATAATAGGCTTAATGACTCAACATTATCTTCTATCTAAATAAATAACTGACAAACACTTTCTGTCCATCTGTATGTCTGAAACCCCTCTAACTTGGGTTGTACTTGCTCTACATATTATACTGTTTTGGAATCATGATGATCCTGGCATTGAATATCTGTCCTTCATCTGGTGCTTGAATATCTGGCATTAGAATTTATGTCCAGATGAGGAGGTGTTCAGTTAAAAATTCAAATTTTAAAATAACTAAGAAGAATTAGTAATTTTAAAAGTTTTAATTTATATTGAGATAAAAGTAACACAAAAACTTTGTGAATTTAAATTTTTTGTTTTAAATTCAGTTTAAAATATCTCTAAAACTTTGTGAATTGAGAAAATCAATTTTATTTCTTCTAAATGCCAAGGAATCGGAGTTAAAGTGAGAGATTTCATGACATGAGGTTTTGGAAGTTCCACAGAGTTTGTGATTTGAAGAACACAATTTTCAGCTTGAATTGGAATTTCAGCTCAAAATGAACTTTTGGAGCAAATCAGTCTTTTGGACAGATTTGTACTTATAGTTTGAATCAGTTAAAGTCATGTTTTGAAGTTCCATGGAGTGAATTGAGGAATTCAAAGTTATTTCTTCAAAATTATCATTGGTTCAGCTTAGAAAACAGAAGAGATTCCTTTAGTTTTGGGCTGGAGGTCTGCTTAAAAGTCTACTTTGAGTGCAGCTTTTAAGCTAGTCATAAATAATTTTTATTTACTTTCAAAAAGAAAAAAAAAAGAATACAAATAGTTAAGTAATTTCAATCCAGTATATTATCTATACAATAAACACTATTTTAGCATGGAACAAAGAATTCTTCATTTTAAATAATTAAAAGGAAAAATACCCAAAGAAAATTGATATAAAACAAAATAAAAAAAAAAGTGTGTTACTAACTTATCTTCAGTACTTACCTATAAGATATTTTGATGTTATTGATAATCAAAACAAAATGACAAAATAAAAAAAATAAGGCAGATTAGGCTGTATATATATATATATATATATATATATAATTTTTTTTTTTTAACAATGCAAAATAAACAAAAATGGTTGGTAACTTTTGTAGGTTGATCTTCCTATCTGAATATTTTTGATGTTACTTGCTTCATATAGCTGGAAAGAAAAAAAAATGAGAAGTTAAACAAAGATTTTTAGAGACATAACAAATGAGTTCAAAGGTTATATTTTGGCATTTTAGAAGATTTTGAAATAACCCATTTTAATAATTATAAGGAATGCTATTAAAACATACCCTTATCTCAATTCAACGTTTTCTGCATTCTTTTTAAAAGGAAGTATTGTCATTATTACTTTGGAGCAGAAAAATAAAACTCAGAAGTGTACAAATGATTTTCAAATGTGTGTGCGAGTGACAGAAAGAGATGTCTCCATATGCATGATATGTATTTAAATAGTTGCATATATATATATATATATATATATATATATATATATATATATAGAGACAAAATATTAGCTTCTGCAAATCTTTCTGTTAAGGAAAAAAAACTTGACATCTTATAAATAGAGAAATTAATTTTTTTGTTTATGTTTTTCATATATTTCAGTCAGGTCCAATTTCTTTAGCTGATAAAGATCACAAGTTTCATTCAATAAATTTAAAACATTGTTTTTTTTTTTTTGTTTTATCACAGAAGGGAGCTACTGTCCCCAAGTTTCTTCTTTAATATATATATATATGTTTATATATATGGATGTATTTTCCCTAGTTTTCAAAGGAGAAATTTTCCTTCATGGTAGTAATTTCTATGGCCTCTGTTTGTCAGCAAAAGCAGGCTTCAAATCATTGACAAAGTCAAACATCAAAAACAGCCCGACAATTGCTTCAAAATTGTTATGAATTATCACTTTCCTTAGTTGTACATTATTATTATTCTCTTCATATCTTTTGATCCAGAGGTTAGAGAAAAACATACACAAATACAATGTTTTGTCAGGAAGCTTGGCATATGCTAGCAATGGGGGCGGGGTAGAATATATATACACACATATATAAAATAGATATTGAATACTTAGAAATTTGCTCTTTCTCTCTCTCTCAAATTAATTTTACATATATATATATATATATATATATATATATATATATATATATATATGCAGGAGAACAAATGTGATATATATATATATATATATATATATATATATATATATATATATATGAGTGCTGATAAATTTTTACCTTTCCTCGTAGTTTTAAGGTATGCTATATTTATGAGTTAGTGCTCTATATTGGGGTAAAGTGTATGTAAATGTAAAAGATGCAGGCCTGAAGATTGAGTTTAAGCTTCAAACAATGTTCACTTGTGTTTGTATATATATATATATATATATATATATATATATATACACACACATATAAGTTTCATTAAAGATGACTGACAATTAAGCTTTTTATTAAATTGCAGTACCTTGCCAGTCATCTTTAATGAAACTTGTATAAAAGAAGGAATGCTGCCCAAATGCACAATTTTATATATATATATATATATATATATATATATATATATATATATATATATATATGTAATAAAAGAGAGATATTCTTTACTAATGTGTTTCATCCTCACATGGACATTATCAAGGTTAATGTAAGAATTTTACAGAATTAAAAATTATTTTTAGGTTTTCAAAGGTTTTAAAACTAAGAATGCTCACACAATATGAAAATATTTTTTTTTCTTTTGTTTTTATTCATATTGTCTTTTTAAAGATATATTTTTTTATTTATATCTGTATTACATGTCTATAGGGCGTATCTCCAAAATTGACATAATTTAAAATGTGAATAGCTGAGTAACTACATGTCCCAGGCAAACAAAATTAAATATACTTCATGTTGAACAATAAAAGATTTATCTATCAAAATTTGAACAAGATATACAAAGGCATATAGATTTCATAACTGTTTTCACAAAGCTTCACCAATGTTAAATATGTTCACCACCTGTGACACGACACATGTCAAGGCGGTAGTCCAGCTGCTGCCAAACATGCTGCAGCATGTCTTGCGTAGCAGTCTCCAGTGCATTGGTAATTCTCTACTTAAATTCCGCTAGGCTTGTAGGAAGACGGAGTATATATAGCCTGTCTTTCACATAGACACATAGAAAAAAAATCTCAAGGTGTCAAAGTCAGGTGAAGATAGTCGTTATTTCAGCAGCAGATTGTCATTATTACTGGCAATGGATTCTCATTGAGACATGTTCACACAGTCAATTTAAATTTTAAGAAAATGTTTAAAAACTCTGATCATTTGAGCATATGTTATTAGACTACAAAGTGATGTCAATGTTTTGGGAACACTGTGTATATAAGGACAATTTTAAAAAATTTTACCATGACTTATGTCACCAGTAATCTGGTGTCATCAGCCGATTAGTTTTATTTCAACAAACTAAAATCAGCATTAAAATGAAACCTGTTTTACATTAGACGTCTAGACATTTAATCTTTTCAATTAAATTGCATCATTAATTCAATTTCATTATAGAAATTAGATTTTAACTAATTACACTCAGTTATTTTAACCTTGCTCCATTTCTCTTCAAAAAACAAGATTTTACAAGTATAAAAATGAAAATCATCTGTCTGGGTAGTCTCGCATTTCAGTTATTGAATGGAATGTTGCGGCCCCACATATTGTAATGGATGTCCGTTATGAAGCAATCAGTGTTTTTATCCCCTGTTGGATTTCCAGTTAATCTTTATTGCCTTGTATACAATTTTTTTAAAATCATTTTTACCCAAAGCGAAGTAATAAAGCCACTAAGATCAAAATGATTATTGGGAGTGAAAGAAAATTTTTTTTGTTTTGTTAAACTTATTAACCTTTTGTGGGTTATTTAAAGTAAAAAAATATTTTTAGAGTGAAAGAATGTTTTGGAGAAATTATATTTTCCTGATACAAGTTCTGTTAATTAACCTATAACTGGGAGGGAGAAGAGGTGGATTCCTTTTTCAAGGGTATTTGCATATAAGTGAATATAATGAACCTGACTTGAATTGGAACTCAGTTCTCTGATTTCCAATTTTGAGATTTTATCCATTATACCAACCACACATTCAAGCTTACAGCATCTGGTATACTGAAGCTCTCCCCCATCTAGGTACCAACCAGGCTCAATGTTGCTTAACTTTGGTGATTGTCTGAGAACTAGTGAAAGAGATCATAAGTTGTTATCAGCTTATAATTGTCGTATGAATAAACAAAATAATTAATAAATTACTGTATTTTCCAGCTTACAAGATATGCTTTTTTCCTAAAAAATATGTGTATGTCTTCCAAGATGGATGCATGACAACACCAAGTCTCAAGTAAGCTTGGACACTCACCTTGACTGATAGGGACGTGGATTTGTATGTTAAGTCATTACACTATAATATTAGCTATCTATCTAATTCAGCCTTTTATATGATGTAACCTCAGTATTTATCTGTTACAAGTATTTTGAAGACTATGAACCTTCCTGGAGCTGAGCCACAAGCTTAAATATGCTCTCTTTACTAGCAGCAATTGGAGCCTTTCTGCTCTTGACTTGTATGTCATTGCCATACAAACAAAATTGGACTGATTAATGTAAACAATACATGGCACCAGTATGTGAGGAAAGCATGGTGAATGTGTTGTTGTATGAGAATTACTTTTTTTTTTCTTAGAAATTTCTTTGCAATATTAGGGTGTGTCTTCCAAGCCAGAAAATACGGTATTCTTCTGTTAACTTAGGATGTGTCTGGCTACCTCTCAAGGTGCATTAGTGCAACTGGACATACCAGTTGATAAATACTAATCTAAACAAACTTGTAATGGCTGGTCATATGTATTCAAATATACCTGTCTGCATAGAGTGGCTAGCCAATCCCTGTTGCAGACACCAGCTCAGGCACATTTGCATTGGTTCAAAACCCACAGAGCCTACCTGTGGTTTATATTTCAGTTATGGTGAGTAAACTTTAGTTACAGTTTCTGGGAGAGAACACATTATTTGGCATGATCAACAGACTGAAACCATTGGTCATGCTAACACAACCAGCAATGGCTCCCAAATGGTTCTGTCTACCCAATTTAACTAACAAGCCTTGGTATGGTTTCAGTCACTTTCCAAAAGTGCCACACACTGGGATCACCTCCCCAGCTCAATAACATCAAGAAGTCACCCTCCTGACAAATCAAGCAGGGTTAGATTTGAACCTGGGTCTCATGGTCAGAAAGCAAACATTCTAACCACTCAGCCATATACTTATATCAACAAAATTAATCAAATCTCAACTCACCATATGTAGCTGTGTGGTTAGAACATCCACTTTCTGACCATGAGACCAGGGTTCTGATTTCATCACATTTGATTTGCCAGGAAGGTGACTTTTTGATATTATTGGTCTGGAGGAGGGGGGGGCCAGTGTGCGGCACCTTTGGAAAGTGCTTGAAAACTATACCACAGGTTGACTCAATTCTTGTCAGCGAAATTGGGTAGACAGAACTCTTAGGATGGTTGTGTTAGCACAAAATCACAAGTCATCGTGACTGAGGATTTAAGCGTGCTGGCCTTGTTCAGACTGTTGATCATGCTAGATAACACACACTCTCCCAGAAATTGTAACTAACGCCTACTCAGCATAGTCGCAGTATAAACCACAGGGCTCTGTGATTGTTGAACAAACACAAATGTGCCTGAGAAAGCATCTCCAATAGGGATTAGCTAACCACTCTAGTTGACTGGATTCCTTGGATATGAGTGGCTGTGCCATTTACATAAGTATGAGATATTTAATTCAATTTTCTGGCTTATTATTATGAATTTCCTACATTGAAAAACAAAAAAAATCTGGATTTGAAATGAGTTTATATATGCCTGGATTTGAAATGAGTTTATATATGCCTGTTCATTTTCTTGTTATCCTTTTATTTTCCTAGATTAATGGTATTGAACTTCACAGCCGAAACCAAGCAATCAAGTTATTCACAGAAACGACATCTGACATCTGCTTACTTGTGGCCCGGCATCAAATTCAGGTAAACTCTTCTGTTTTTTTTGTTTTTTTTAATCTGCAATTTAGGTGGAGTAATGGATAGCGGCTTGGATTGAGGAATTGGAGAACCGAGTTCGAATTCTGGTCAAATGCATTGCATTCACTTATGTGCTAATTCCCTTGGGAAAGGTATGAATCCTCCTCTTCTCCCCCAAGCTATAGGTAAATAGGCAGACAGACTGGGTTCTATAGCCTTGGATGACAACTGGTCTACTGCAGAAAGAAATGGCAACCTACTGCTGGAAAAAATCTGCTTCGTCAGTCATGTATTAAAAGATACATGATCGTCTGAGCATATATCACACATGGAAGATAACTGACTGAATTTAGGTAATTGTAAGTGACTGTATCTTGGTTTTTGAAATATACACACACATTATATATATATATATATATATATATAGGATTAACATAAGTAAAAGTTTGTCTCTTAGCTGATTGATGTTGCCTTCAGCATCCTGACTCCAGAGTTTCTCATAGGTGAACATGTCTGTCTACTCTTCATGGAATATCAACTCCTGATATTTTTCGATTTTTTTTTCTTTTATATATGAAAATTAATTTAATTTGTAAAATGATGTGAATGCACCTTCATATATATATTTATATATATATACTATAGTAGTTTTGTTTGTCACCTATAAATATGCCGTTTTCTCTTTTGCCTATTTAGCCAGCTTTCCCTGACGATCTGCTTAGGTGAAACCTGGGTAGATTTATCTGGCTCACTAGGTTTGACTATATATATATATATATATGAAAAAATTCACACTCAACACTAGCCAGGTTTCAACCTCATGTACTCATTAGGTGGATTTTGGTGAATTATTTTATAAAAAATGACCTCATCATGTTGTTCTTCTAATTTCTTGTCTCTCCTATTTGGCATCTTTATACTCTTCAACTATCTTTTCTGCTTCAAACGATATCTTGTCTACTTTAGATGGCATCTTTTTCCACTTGTTGTTCATTTTGAATAATATCTTGTCTGTCTCAGATGCCATCTTGTTCTTCTTGAATACCTTGTGTATCTTAGATGGCATCTTGGACATCTTGAATGATAGCTTGCCTGTTTTGGCATCTTGTGCATCTCAAATGGTATCTTTTTTATTTGAAATGGTTTCTTGAAAGAAGTCTACCAAAGGTTTACTGCATTTGATAAGAAGCTCAATGTAAATAAGAAACCAACTCCTATTTGTCTCATTTGCTTTTCCTAATAGCCCATAAAAAAGATTTTGTATTTTTTTTAAATCAGAGATGAGAGATCTTTGTCATTGTTTCTGGCAATGAATATTTTATACTAATGGCAGGTTGTGCTGGACAAATGGCATCCAGCATTTGACATTAAACTTGTATACCACTGGGAAAATGTTCAACAAAGAAAACCGCTTTCGCAAACAATTTGCTTTTATCTAAAACACCGATCTGCCTGCTTTAGATATTGTCATCAGCAGTTTGTCGTTAAGTATTAAACAAAAAGCATTTCCTAATCAGCACATTGATAATTACTGAGAAACACGTTTTATTATCAGATGCGATCTTAACAGGAGATACCAAATGTGACTTCCTCAAGCCAGTGTAAATAAGAAGCCGTAATCATTAACCAACTCTGAAAATGGTCGATAATAACGAGCCAACAGTTAGTAGGCTTTGTTAATACCAACAGGTGTTCTGCACAAAAGCAGTAGTGGGCGAAAAGGAAGTGAAGGATGACATCAGCAGAGTCTGTTGAAAACATGCAGATAGCATTAACTCTTTAAGGCTAAAAGCATCCAAATATGCTTTATGGCTAGAAGTATTCAAATATTCCATACGATTGTTGAAGTTAAACAACATTGAGCCAGGTCAGTACCTAGCATTGAATATTCACGCTGACAGATGACAATAATATAATGTCTAAAAATAAAAAAAAATGAGCATCTGCTCAAACATGGGTATCTATTAAAAATAATGTTTAAGTGATAAAAATCTATTGGATTAATTAATAAAAAAAATCCATTACTTCTTTAGAAATTGCTTTGTTTACATTAGGATACAAAACTGTGCAGGTATATATGTTTCGAGAATCTGAGAAAGATTTGCCTTTATAAAGCACTATTTGAATTTGTAACATCGGTGACGTAACTCTGTAGCTGAGACAATATAAGCATGTCAAATCTAATGATAGTTTCTTCTACCTAGGGGAATGCAGGTTTGAGTCTTACTGGAGAGCATATATTTGTCTTTAATAAGAATTCTCAAATACTCAGGCTGGTAGATGATAATAAATATAATGTTTAAAAAAAAACAAAAAAAAAACAGACTGTCAGCTCAAATATATGTCTTCACTAAAAATAACATTTAAGTGATAAATAAATAAATATATATATATATATATATATATATATATATATATATATTTTAACATATTTTCTGTTTATATGTTATTTTTTATAGATACAAATATTTAAGTAAATGCTCTGTTTATAATAAACAGTATTAACTACCTTTACTGGCCTGAATGTCTGAGAAATTTCATAGAAAATATATCTCCTATGAACCTGTATCCTACATGGAACTGTCATATAGCCTGACGTGCTATAACATTTAGCTATAGAGGAAGCATCTGGTTAGAAAATATTTTCTATGAAATTTCTCAGACATTCAGGTTGGTAAATGTAGTTAATACTGTTTATTATAAACAGAGCATTTACTTAAATATTGGTATCTATAATAATAATGTATAAACAGAAAATATATTAAAATAATTGTCAGATTTAGTCCATTTTGTCGACTGCAAAGTATAATAGGGTCAGTTGGGCACTGTCTGTGAGAAAAAGAGCACCATGACACAATTCACTTCACCAGAAATTTGGAAACGGCCTGTTGTACTTCTTGACATTTGCAGCAGAAGCTTCAATACGAACATCTTCAGAGTCTTTGGGTATCAATCTGAGGAGAGTACAGAGGATACTGTGTCTCCAAAAGATGTACTGATAGCGATGAAAACCAAATATCCAGTCAACCTCATGGTGTTTGGAAAGATCACTAATGATGGAGATGTTATGCCTTCATTCATCTTCTCATAGGGCCTCAAACTCAACATGGAGGCCTACATCAAGTGCCTTGAGGAGGTTGTGCTGCCCTGAGCCAAGAGGGTGGCTGCCAGACAACCCTATGTCTGGTAACAGGAATCTGCACCATGCCACACAAGCAGGAGAACCCAATCATGGCTATCAGACAATTTCTGCAACTACATCACCCCTTACATCTGGCCACCTAACTCCCCAGACTACAACCCGCATGATTATTACTATATGTGGAGTGTAGTGGAGTGAGAGACCCCCAAAACTCATTGTAACACCAGTGTTGAACAGAAGACAAGGATTAAGGTAGCATTCAATAATTTAAATAAGAAGAACGTCCAGAAGAGTTGCAGGAGATTCTGAAGTTGTCTGGAGGCCATGGTTGAAGCCTATGGCGATTTTATTGAATAAAATTTGGTCTTTAGTATTTCAAGAAATATTTGTGTAATTTTGGTAAATATATCTGTTAAAATGAGATGTCAGTGTTATTTTCATTTTTGCATAATTTAGATGATAGTTTATCCATCACACCCACCGTGTGTGTGTGTATGTATATATATATATATATACACACACACACAGGGTGTGATGGATGGATATATATATATATATATATATATATATATATATATATATATATATACACACACACACACACAGGGTGTGATGGATAAACATACATCCATCCATCTATATATATGTTTAATCAAGAAGAATTAAATCCAACAAGATCATTCTGCTTAATTTCATATTTTTCTCTCATTAGCAAAAACATGAACTCTGAACAGTTTCTCTAAAAAATTTAATGCAGATGTGGAAGACCTCATTTGTAAATTGGAAAAATATAAATAAAGATTAAACAGATATCAAATATACATTTTCCATTGACCTTAATAAAACTTATATATATATATATATATATATATATATATATATCTCCTGGACTCTGCTGTAGTTTTCAAAATATGAGGATACAGCAATTCAGTTCTTGGAACCAAACAGCTAGACTACTTGAATATATGATTTAATTTATAGTGGTGAAGGCTTGTGCAGAACCAACCACACTTTTTGGAAGGCCTAAATATAGAAAACTGTTGCATATAGTGTGCTACAAGACCTCAAACAATGCTCCTCAAGTTTTGAATTCAGATTTGTCTTATTCCTAGACCAGTTGCCACTCAAGGCTATAACCCCGCCACCATATATATATATATATATATATATAAACACTAAGTTTTATCAAAGTCAGCTGACAGGGTATGTTGTTTTAATCTTTTATTATATTTTCCAATAGAATATACATATATATGCACATACTCACTCTTGATGAAAAACTTCCCAAAGAGGATTGACATCACATTCACATATGAACTACTTATTGCCATTTACATTTATTTAGTATCATTTTTTCAAAAAAATAAGAGCAAAAAGTTTTGGGACTCCTTCAACAAAGGTCATGATTTGTTGACCTTTTACTTTGTTAAAAGGCAAAAAGTAAGTGTGTGGGGGAGGCAAAAAATCACCTGGAGCAAATCTCTTGTCTCTTCCCCACATTCCATCAAATTAGTTTCTACTCAAAATGAAAATTACTTTCTCTTATTTCCCACTGCTGGGGGTGACCGAAATATGATCTGTATGCATTGGAACCTAATATTAGGTTTTACTAGTTGGTCTTTTGGCTTCAAATTCCCAAACCAATCTTTTGTTACAAGATTGTGACTCTTGTTGCATAACATGTGAAATTGATGGGAAACTCCATATAAATCATGTTTTATATAATATATATATATATATATATATATAGGCCCATGACATCAGCTGGTGAACCTTTCCAGCAATAATCCATAATTGTTTTGTCTTTTCTTTTTTCTGTTAATAGCAACTGATAGAGTCTGGAAAATTAGCAATTGACATGAAA